TGAGAAGCACTTGGCCTGCGTCTGGCACAGAGAAAAAATTACATATTAACTATTATTGCATTTCTTACCATAGGTTCCTAGACACAAAATATTTTTATGGCTTTGGATTATAATCCTGGCCTCCCTTTTCAGTCCCTGTCAAACATCAGGTTTATTTTTGAACATGCCCTTTCTCCTTAACCAATCATAGAAGTTCCTACAAAGTGGTGATTATGTTTATAGAGTGTGCATTGAAGAAAAAAAAAACTCCGGTCAGGTGTGATGGCTTACACCTGTAATCCCAGCACTTTGGGAGGTCCTAAGTAACTAATTGAGTTCTGGTGGAGGTAAGTAGGCAAATGCATTTTCTTCATTGAAAATCAAATAAAACCAAGTGTACAAAGTACAGCTTAAAACTAAGGATCCCTATGAATAGTATCTGAGTTGGGTTCTTACCTTTATAAAACTCAGAGGAGTAGATTTTCAGGCATGACATCCTGTGTCCTACTTTTACGGTAGAACAGGAAGTAGACTAACAGAGAGGAACTCTATGGGGCCCATGAGCTGGCAAACAAACAAACAAAATGACTCTATGTCTAGGAATGGTATTCATACTCCAAAGTCCTTGGTCCATCCAGGATATCTTGTGTCTGTAATGTCAAAACTAATAAGAGAAAGGAATGAAGACAAAGTCCAGAAGTCTGACAGCTGCTTATTTCCTATTGGAAGCCATGATAACTCATGCCTGTGTGATTAAAACAAATGGTTGAGACATCTCAATGATGTCCTATGGATCAGACAGCAGTGACCAAATATTGATACTAGAATACAATGAAATAGTCCTATAAACCAGCCATACCAAGATTTCAAAATTATTGATTTAATCCCATATATTTTCCCAATTGTCAACACTCAACATTGGATACCCAGCCAAATGTCTTTTTGGTTATCTTTAAAAATCAAACACTTTATGCTTCCCTGAGTGTTTGTTCCATAATCTCACATGTTTTTACTTAGATTTTCCTGATAGAGTGCCTATTTTTTAAAATCTTAGCTTTATCCAATATTCATACTTATTTTATCTTTTTCCATCACATTGCAGTAACTCTCCATCAGTGTTGTAAAATTTGCTTCTGCATTGTTGCTTTTTCTACCACAGATGTATATTAAGACATTACTAAATTCAGAAATTAACTCTGAGATCCTGTTGCAAATGTACCCATCTTGCTGCTTTTGACCCCATACACATCTTTTGGCTAAGAGTAAGAGGGAAAGAAGAAAACCAATGCTCTTATTCATTCCAGAATAAACAATATTTATAATCCCAGACCTGTGGGAAGCATTTCCAAGAAATACGGATCATCACATTGGCTCTCGTTACCAGAACTGTGCAAGGCAAAGGAAGCCCCTCAAAACACACTGAATTATCAAATGGGAAAAAGGTCACATTTACTGGTAAAGAGTCATTCTTTTCCTCATTCATTCAACAACCATGTTTTGATTATACCTTATGAACAAACTGCTATGCTTGTATAACATTAACTCTTTGGGTGGCATATCTGTCAGTGTCCCAGCAAGGAAAGAAAAAGGCCATACTCAATGGACTTGAGGAAGATTTAATAAAGAAACTACTAGCAAAATTATGGGAAGAGTTCAGAGAAATCAAAAAACAGAGGCAAAAACTACAACACAGTGGTAGCCTAGGGCTAGTAATACCGAAATTGTTATTATCCCTAGGCCTAAATGACAAAGGAAGAGAGATGTTACTGGATCCTGGCAGGAGAGACTCCTGTAGAGGAACTGCCATAAAGAGAAGATAATGTTCAGGAGAGGGACACAGGCAGCCTCAGTTGACCCCACAGAGAGAGGCTTAGGGGTTAGACAAAGTGACCTTACTCTTCTCTCTTCAATTGTAGGCTCCCACTGGCTGAACACAACTGGATTTCAGAAGACTTAATGGAGCCTGTACAGGTCAGCCTTCCAGGGTTCAGAGCAAGATGGAGAGTGATAGAGTAGATACAGAAGAGCAATCCCAAGATAGCTCACCCGGAGGACAACACTCACTCTGACTACCCAACTTCATTGAAACTAAAAGAAACTTCATCTTGCTTTAGAGGAAAATAATCTTGGCCAGATATCCAGTTTGGGCTGATAAATAGACTGCTGTGTATATTTTACACTTTGCAGAGATGTGGCAGATACCTAAAATCTGTGTTTAACGAACTGAATAAAAATACTCTGATGTATATATTTAACTTCCAGATACCTAATAATGAATAGTGTGGTGCACAGATTCTAAGGAAGCCCCCATGATCCCTGCTTCCAGGTGTCCATGCCTTTGTGAAATCTGCTCCTCTTGAGTGTAGGCAGGATCTGAGACTAGCCTCTAACCCATAAAATTGCAAAGGTAATAGGTTGTCACTACTGTAATTATGTCATTCATATAATAAAGGTGCTGATGTCACTCCTGTGATTATATTGCGTTACATAAAGCTGCCCTGCTAGCAGGCTCATGCTGGAGACTTTCTCTCTTGCTGGCTTTGAAGGAATGACCTGCCTTGATGTGAGAGGTTTGGGGAGAGAGCCACGTGGCAAGGAACTGTGGGCAGCCTCTTGGAACTCCTGGCTAACAGTCAGCACAAAGCCAGAAACCTCAGTTTATAACCACAAAATGATGAATCCTGCCAACAACCTGAGTGGGTCTTGTAGTGGATCCATCCCCCAGTCAAGCTTTCAGATGAGAACCCAGCTCTGGCCAAGAGCCTTTGCTGTTGTTCTTGGAATTCATTGTGGGGCTTTTTTTTGGTTTTATGGAGACGTAGTTGACAAATTAAATTGTAAAAATTTAAAATATACAATGTGATGATTGGATATATAGAGATACTGTGATAGGATTACTACAATTAAGTTAATTAACTGTGTTAGGCTATTCTTGCATTGCTGTAAAGAAATAATTGAGGGCTGGGCATGGTGGCACATGCCTGTAATCCCAATACTTTTAGGGGGCCGAGGTGAGCACATTACTTGAGGTCAGGAGTTCGAGATTAGCCTGGCAACCCCATCTCTACTAAAAATACAAAAAAAAAAAAAAATAGCCAGGTATGGTGGTGGGCAACTGTAATCCCAGCTACTCGGGAGGGTAAGGCAGGTTTCACTTGAACCTGGAAGGTAGAGGTTGCAGTGAGCCAAGATTGTGCCATGCACTCCAGATCAGAGACAGAGTGAGACTCCATCTAAAAAAAAAAAAAGAAAAAGAAAAAGAAAAGAAATAGCTGAGACTTGATAATTTATAGATAGAAGAGGTTTAATTTGCTCACAGTTCTGCAGGCTCTACAAGAATGACATTGGCATCTGCTCAGCTTCTGGGGAGGCCTCCGGGAACTTTTACTCAAGGCTGAAGGCAAAGCTGAAACAGGCACATCTCATGGCCAGAGCAGGAACAAGAGAGACAATGTGTAGGGGAAGATGCCACACACTTTCAAACAACCGATCTCATGAGAAATGAGAACTCACTCACTATTGTAAGGACAGTACGAAACACCTCTAGCACTGAGGATCACAATTCAACATGAGATTTGGTGAGAACATATATTCAAAATAACACATCCATCACCTCACATAGTTACCGTGTGTGTGTGTGTGTGTGTGTGTGTGTGTGTGTGTGTATGTGTAGCGAGAACATTTAAGATCTACAATTTTAGCAAATTTCAAGTATAGGATACAGTATTAACTATAGTTACCATGCTATACATCAGGGATGTAGAACTTAGTTATCTCATATCTGAAAGTTCGTACCCTGTGACCAATATCTCCTCATTTCCCCACCCCCACCCCCGGCAACCAGCATTCTACTTTTTATTTCTTTGAGTTTGACTTTTTTAGATTTCACATATAAATGAGATCATACAGTATTTTTCTTTCTCTGCTTGACTTATTTCACTAAGCATAATGCCCTCAAGTTTCATCCATGTTGTTGCAAATGGCAGAATTTCCTTTTTGTTCAATCTGGCAGACACCTCGATTCTAGATGGATCCTTTCCAAAAGACCCAGCTAAGCCACACCTAGACCCCTTACCTACAGAACCTGTGAGATAATAAATGTGTCTTGTTTTAAGTCATAAAGTTTGGTAATTTGTTATGTAACAACAAAAACTAATATAATGAGTATTTCATTTTTCCATATTGCATTATTGAACCCCTTATAATTAATATTCTCTCACATTCCTAGAACTGGGCCTTGTGGCTCAGGTATTATTTTATTCAATATCTATGTAGGACTTTACCACTTACAAACTATTTTCATAAGTCTTAAATCAACTGTTCATTGAGATAAGCCCATATTATTAGTCTCAGATAAAGGATAAAGAAACAGAGGCTGTGAAGTTTGAATTGACGTACCCAAGGTTAAATACTAAATGGCAAATTTTGGCTTTTGTCCCTTGACCTCTGACTACAATTCCCAGTTTCTTCCACTCTGCTTCACTGCCTTTTTAAATTTAGTTCCAGATGATTAAAATAGTGCTAACAAGCCACACCTTCAGTCCTTAGAAGGACCAGCTACATTAATCCAGCTTCTCAGAATGGCAAAATGCCTTCTCTTTCTCTCAAAAATAGGTATGTTACTGGCTACAAGATGAAAATTATCTGCCAGTAGGAAAATTCCCATGGAAAATTCAAAGTCTCCTTTGGTTAATCATGGCTCAGCAGCGCATCCTTACCTAAAAATCACGGTTTGAATTGCAGTTAGGAGTGTTACTAGAAGCAGCAGCAGCAGCAGCAGCAAAGACATAAGCTAACATTCAGAAACACTTACTGCATAGTCTACCCAAGCTTAATTGTTTATTCCTTAAAATAGCCGAAAATGAAAGGACTTTGGCAAAATCCCTTATGATAAAAGCCCAGACTCAAAACCTTATTAGAGATCAAAGCAGATGGCAATATTAGTTAACAGATTTCTTTTTTGTAAACTGCTCTCTGCTTAAAAAAATGTGTAAAAGTAATGCAAAAGACCTACAATTTACCTCTTTGTGAATGGCCAGCGGTGGAATTCTATCTGTGAGGTCTGCTGTTGGTTTGATCCAAAGAACAGTGAATGGCAAATGGCGTATATGACAATCTCTTTTGAAATGGAGCAGAGCATTTTCTATGATGGAGATCAAAGGCGCTAGTACAACAAGTCATCAAAGTGGGCACCTGTAATAATATAAAAAAGAGTGATTGAAGTTTTCCCACCCTTGCGTTTCACATTAGTCCATTTGAATAGTCATCATTAACATTTCTCCCCATATTTGTCTCTTTACTTAGACCTATTAGTATCATTGGAGCTATGAGAGCTTAAGAATAATTTTATAACAAATAAGAGATTGTTTAATGTTGCCAAACATTTAATAAGCTTCTAGAAAATATTCTGGGCTGGGCTCAGTGGCTCACGCCTGTAATCCCAGCACTTTGGGAGGCCGAGGCAGATGGATCACAAGGTCAGGAGTTCGAGACCAGCCTGACCAACACGGTGAAACCCCGTCTCTACTAAAAATACAAAAATTAGCCAGGCATGGTGGCGGGCACCTGTAATCCCAGCTACTCGGGAGGATGAGGCAGGAGAATTGCTTGAACCTGGGAGGCGGATGTTGCAGTGAACCGAGATCATGCTATTGCACTCCAGCCTGGGTGACAGAGTGAGACTCCATCTCAAAAAAAAAAAAAAAAAAAAAAAAGAAAATATTCTGTTTTAGTTTGGCTCAAAATTTGGCCCAAGATGAGAGAATTTGTTCGATTGTTGGTTGCTTGTTTTTCTGAACCTACATTTTAAAAGATAGCAGCTTTGGAAATAAAGTTTGATCCTATGATTCAATCTTAGAATGCTCTTGCTGTGTGTCTGTGTGTCTTTTATCAGGGCCCTTGATTAGAAAGAGAAGAGAATGGAGCCCTTTTTGTTCCATCTCTCCCTGTTATTATATTCATTATGAATCTTTCCCTTTCTTTCTGCCAATTAGGACCGGTCCCAATATGGCGGGACCTCCAGAGTACTACCGCTGTCTCTCATGCACGACTCTTTCCAGAAATCCCTTGACTTGAAATTCAATCCTTTTTTTAATGAGAAAATACAGTACCACTGAATCCCAAAGCATTTATATTTAAAGCTTCCATGACCTAAAGCCTTATCAAGAGAAAATGAGAATGATACTATTTTTACCCCTACCTAAACACATAAGCTCACTGCATGCCAAATATTTTAAATATTTAGCCCTTGTTTCTTGACCTTGTGCAGAGTAGCTTCTTATCATAGTGTCACTTCAGGAGAATCAGGCAGAGGGACTTGGGTTCTAGTCCTGACTTCACCTTTACAAACTCTGAACAAAATTTAATATATTATATATTATGTACCTCTTTTAAGGCTGTTTTCTAATCCATAAAATAGTAATAATAATCATGGCTTCTTGAGGCTGCTGTAAGGGTTGAATGAATAGTATAGAAGGCCTTAACCCATCATCTGAGACATGGGGAGTCATTTAAAGGTGTTATTATTTCATGATTGAAAATAGCATATTTTTCTCCAGTTGCCTTGTTCAAGTATTCCATCAGTTCCCTTTGGTTTTCCCTCTTTCTTATTTGACTAACTTTGCTATAAACATCTGGACACTGTATCTGAATTGTACAAAGGAAAGGCAAAGAATTGAAAAGGGACCAATTTATTCTAGTCATAAATTTACTTTGGAAATTAGGTTTATCTTCATTGATTAATGATGCGGGTTCAGGACACACTACTCCAAAATACGTCACCTTGACACTTGAGAAGACTGCAGATCTCTCTGACCTTCTCCCAGTCCTTCCCCTTTGCAGGAGGTCATAAAAACTAGGAAGAGTTTGTCAGAGCTCAGAAACCAATATCCCCAAAATATGCCATTTTTATGTTTATAGAGCACCCTTGATGTAACTAACTCCATTTTAGAAAAAGTTTCCATTTTATATTTCATAGGACACTTTGCCTTCAAGGGTAAGATATTTTGCTTAATAAACAAAAAAATAAAGACTGCATCTAACCACAAAGGTAAGATGTTTTGCTTAATAATCAAAAAAATAAAGACTGCATCTAACCAGATAAGGACACAAACCAAGTACACTCTTCTACAATCAGTTCTCACCAGAGGACTCTTTAACCATAAAGGAGCATGACTTCAGCAGCTCAGATAGGCCATCTTAACTGACACCACCTTCCAGTAACTTGTGCTAAGAACTCAGCATCTGCCACCAAAGGCTCTGCCATATCAAAGACTATTCCTTGCAATATCCAGGGACTTTCAGGCCCAAACCAGGACTCCTTTTACTGCTTTGCCCCCCCTGGATCGGTTCATTAATGCTTTCTCCTCTTTTTCCTTTTGATGTTTAATATTACTTTTTTGTTGTGGAATGTTTAATCTATAACATTTACACATGATTAAGTATACTATTATGTATGGTTTGCAATATTGACAGACTTGTGGAGTGGCCTGAGCCTGTGTCTGCAGTACTGACTACTAAGTGAACGGGAAGTACTAAGGAGAGTTACCTCCGTGAGAACTCATTGTAACTCATGACTTTTGTGATTGAAACAGTGTTAATAAAAGCCTGACATTGTCAAAAGACATAAATATGTGTAGAACTGGTTATCTCTAACCTTTCACTGCTCATGACAGACATGCTGCAATGAAGAAGTTTCAAGGTCTCTCTGACAACCTTCCCTCCATACCATCCCTCTCACAGAAGATGAAGGCTCCTTTATCTGCCTAAGATCCAGACCCACCAAGCAGAATAATTGTTTTTTCTTCCTCTCCTTGTTATCTCACTACATATTGCAGAAAAGACCAAGAATGTAACTGCACCTGAGCAGATCCTTTTACACATATAATGATGGTCTCCAAGAATTATTAAAATTCCGAAGAGTACTACTTATAAGTTAATATCTTTTCCTGGATCCATTCATTCTCCCTAGTAATTCTTTCAATAGAATTCTTCTTCTCTCCCCTCCCATAATGTTTTTTTAGGATCCAAGCCCCCATTCTTTCTGTAGCCTCAAGATGGTATATACAATGTTCCACTTCATTGGGAGGTAAGATCTTTATTCTGAAGTCTCTCATGCACACTTTAAATAAATTCGTATGTATTTTCTCCTATTACTCAATCTACCTTATATCAGTGATTTTTCAGCAAACCTTTTGGGGACCAAGGGCCTTGGCTTCCATAGTTATGGTGCCTTGGGCAAAATCACCAAAAGTCTTTCTGTTCTTCTGGAAGCCTCAGTAAAAAGACCCAGGAACTTAAGAAGCCAGCAAAAGGGGTAAGAATTTCTTACCAGCTATGGTCCTGCTCTCTCTTTTGGTCAGTCCAGTAGAGTAGATGGTAAAAATTACTGTTTCTCTCCTCTGCAAGGTTTTTATTACTGGGTAAAAGGGGCCTGTGTGACTAGTCTTGGGGTATAGCAACTCTAGAGTACTTTTTGGCATTTTGTTATATGAATATTTATATTGTTTGATCTCTTTCTTCCAAGAAATATTTTTGTTTGTCTTTGTATTTCTGTGTTCTGTCATAAACAGGGGTACTGGTTGAGGTTCCCTCTCCTCTTGTTTATGTCCTTGAGAACTCGACCTGTGATCAAGTGAGCTCTTTCTCTCTTGGTTCCCACCATCCGTGGGGCATGATTTCTGGGTCAGGTCAGATGGCCAGTCTGAAAATGGCTGGGAATCCAAGACTTTTTCTGTTTCAAATGTGTCACGCTTGTCATAAGAAGTGCCATTCATAAGCAGCTTTTGTCATCTTGACCTGTGCTGCCTGGTTAGTGCTGAGCGAGTCTAATCCCAGAAGGGCCTACCCAATGTGACAGATTAACTGGTCTGTGACTCATAGCCCCCAACAAATTTGGGGGTTACAGGAGGCAAACACCATTTTTAACTGTCTATAGCAAAAAGAGTCTTTCGCTATCTCAGCCTATTTCTGGGAAAATGGGGGAATCTTCGATCTTTGGAATCACTTCTTGTCTAAGAAAGGGTGTTGGATTGAGTTGCTATTGGAACTAAATACATCATTGAAAATTCAATGGCCAAAAGATCCATTCCTTAAATTAGACTCCTAAAAAATGAGAAATAAAATAAAATAAAATTTTAGAGATCCTTTATTCCAAATAATAGGAAGTTGGTATTAAAAGAATCATATTAATGTCATGGCAAACCTTAAAAATTATTTCAACTAAAGAGCAAAATCTGAGATAAAACAAAGTTACACTCACGCAGGCCACTTTGGATTCCATGCAACATTCACAGTGGACACTGCTCATTTTGTAGTCTGTTGATTACAATTCCCATTGTGGCTTAGGTTAGCTTTCTGCTCAGGGAATTACTCCCTCTTGGTTTGATATTTGTGTGACTCTTGGGATACCAATTCATTACTAATCTTTTTCCCTTCCTTGGACAGTATTTCATTTCCTGTCTTCTTCCATCTGTGGGAGGTACACAAGGTTTTGGGGCCTTTGTGTGTAGATGAACGGCTGAGAAGCTGAGACCCTAGAGAAGATGGCTGGACAGACATATGAGTTGTACTCCATTTTTAGCTGGTGAAACCCTCCTTTATTTAAGCTGTCTTTAGAATGGTTCTGGATTTTGTGCAAAGGCCATAAATATCAGCTGATTGTCTTGGCTAAAAACTGATAATAAGATACTTGAAAAGATGTTTTAAAGAATTTTAAGGTTAAAACTCAACTTAATTAAAAGCTAATATCCATGCTATATATTATATAATGTACTATATATATAGGATATATATACGTATATACAATTATATATAATTAAAAGCTGATATCCAAGCCAAGTCACATATATGTGTGTATATGTATATTTTACACACACATATACACACCCACACACACACGTATATATAAATACACACATATTTTTAAGGATTTTCTGCTTTTCTTTTTAAATTCTGTTTCTGGGATTTTTTTTTTTTTTTTTTTGGTGAATAAAACTCTCCACCTCCCACCCCCAAAACAAAAACAAAAACAAAAACATGTGCTTGTATGTTTGTCTGTTCAAGTGCTGCTAATAAAGACATACCCAAGACTGGGTAATTTATTAAGGAAAGAGGTTTAATGAACTCACAGTTCCACATGGCTGGGGAGGCCTCATAATCATAGTGGAAGGCAAATGAGGAGTAAAGTCACATCT